TCAAGTTTAGTCGGCATGGCATACAATGAAAACATCCATCTTCCCATCATTATTTTACAAAATATTAACGTTTCTTAATTTAAAAAGCATGCAGCGTCTGTGCTTACTTTCACCTAATTCTGCCCACCTTGAAATTTCGTTTTATTCTGTTTATTGCCAGATTGGGATTCTGAGCTGCGTTCATGGAAGTGAACACTATTGTAATCCTACGATATCAAATCATTTAGATAATTGACACTTTGAAAGAACACGACAAAATGGCTCGAATATGGCATATCGAGGACGGTACCTTACACTTTCTCCGCGAAGAACAAATAAAACGCTTATTCGACAACGATGCAGAGCTCACCACGATTGATATCGTGCATTCTAGGTAAACAGTAAATGGAAAAGGAGTTAAAAAGCAGAGCTTGAAAGCTGAATTCCAATTTTCTGAAAGAGATAAAAACTACGCAAACTTCGGCGTCAGAAGAAATAAACGATACGTCCATAATGCGGTGCCAAGAGATAATCGAACGCAACTCTCTTTCAAATAACAAAATCCTAAGATTGCAGTCTTCTGCACCAAAATAGCAAAAATAGAAAAGCAAATTATAATAGCAACAAGTATTCAGATACCCCACAACCGATAGCCAAGACTTCAGATTTAGCATTAGCGATATGAATATTCAAATTCATGATATGGGAGGCCAGCCAACGGAACTGGTAAGTGAGTGATTTTCCTAATTTCTTTTGACAGACTGCTATTCAGGCAAAATTGCCTGAGTTCATAAATCATTGGGTTGCTCAAGACCGCGAGGGATACAAAAACTTTGTACTGTTTGTGACTTCAATGGCAGACTTCAATGTACCCGATGAGGATGAACCCACCAAAACAGCTCTAGAACGAAGTGCCAAGATACTTGAGGTAGCCAAGCTATAGGCAAAGCAGAGGATAGCTGTTACTTACTGTAACGGTTTTTCAGAGAATTTTGAGTGAGGATATAGTGCGAAGCTGCGGACTGCTCATCTTTTTCAATAAACAAGACAGATTTGACGATATAGTAACGTATCTGCAAAGGACAAAAGAAGGTCGAGCAGAAATCGAGAAGTTCCTTGGGAACACGATGAATGAACGTAAGATTTCAGAACAATATTGTCTCTGAACATCTTTCAATGATTCAGATGATAAAACGAAGCTTAGCGCTGGAAATTGTAATGTCACAGCACTATATGACGCGCTAGCAAATAAGTTTGACCAAGTTATAAAAAAGAAACGACGAGGAGCATACGATAGGGGAGTATATATGAGGTGAACAGCAAGTTGCTCTTCTGGCATGAGCTCATACGTTTCGTTCAGATTTACGCAAGCCGTCGATCCCAAAATCATGGCAGACATCTTCAACGTGGTCAAGAACGAAATTATAGGCGACTTCATAAGGAACGGCACTTACATAGCAGTATGACATCATCTCGAATGTATATACACAAATTATTTCTTTGTGGTGTATAAGCAGAAGAAAGACACTAAACGGCTCCTCTTCACCTATTAGAGAAAAATTATGAAGTTGAATACCTGCAAATTTGTTAATGGTTCCATTTTTTGTACAGCTCCCGTGGTGTCACACCGTAGCGATACCTGAAATGATAATTCTAGAATTATGACTTCCACATCTTTAACAACCAACATTAGCACTCTGTCCTGGAATCAAAGGAGATGGAACCTTCAATGGTTCTGCAGGAACTAATCCAAATGAATTCTTGTTGAATTGAATCGCGAACCCTGATAGTGCTTGCATAGCCTGAATAAAAGGA